TCTGTTTTGAAAGCTCTAATGTTTCCTCTCAGCTGCTCATTACAGTAATCTGGAAGCTATGTGGGGTATTTTTTTGAAAAAATAAACCAACAAAACATCAAAACCAAAACCACAAAACCTACCAGTCTGGAGGAGAACTGTAATTTATAATTAGTGTGAAATTGGAAAAGACCAGTAAGCATAACAAACGTGAATAGACTTATAGCACTGCAGTCCCCTGTAGCAAAATGCAAAGGTTATGCAACTGCCCTTTAGGATTCAAACAAAAGGTATCTTGGAGATGTTGCAATCCTTTTTCAGGCTATGAAAGTTGCTGATATTAATTTCTTTTAAAAGAACATTTTAAGTTATTTTATTCTTTTTCCACCATAAAGCCTATCATTTGTGCTTACAGTAATTCAGACAGATGATATGCATTCTTTGTTGATATCATTGCTAAAGACATGGTGGTATCTCTACCCATTAAAATATAATCCTGAACTCTGCTTCATGTTGTGTAAATCACCCAGATTGTGATACAGGACTTAATACATTCACCTCATACTGAGAAAGGATGAAAAATAACAAAATATCAAAACCCATGTGAGAGAAGGTTCAATTTATTGGAAGAGATTAAATGGAATTTTATGATTCAGAAGGATAAAACATTATATTACATATTGCATAAATTGATACTCGGTTTGTGAAATATATCTTGAAATCAAAAATTGAGTATCTCAAATCAACAATCAAACATTGGCAACAATAAATTTTTCATGTAAAACATTAGTGGCTCTATTTTGATGTGCTGGTGTCTTTTGGTTTTGATTTGTACCTTATCAACAGGAGCCGAACCTGACATAAGAAATGAGTACAGAAATTGCATAAAGATATAGTAAAATCAATTATTTCCTTCTTTCCTTTCTCTGTTGTTTTTAACATTTCTACATTAGACCAATGAATGTTATCACATAAACTACTCCAAAACAATCACCCCCAATTCTGCCTAATGTAACTCAATGGAATTTTATTAGATGGATGCTTCAGAGACTTGTAAATAAAAAGTGTTCTAAAACCTGCTCCAGGCTTTTGAGAAGCAATTGAGCCAAAACAGAAATCAGGCAAGCCCGAGTTTCTCTGCACTGAAAAATAAGCCCAAAGTTACCATCAGAGAATTTCAAAACTTACTGCTGAGAGAGCATCCTTCTCTGAGGAGCTCTTGAATCATAATTAACATGCAGAAAGATAATTACAATGTTTTAGAAATGTTTCTTCTAGAAAGCATTTTAACATAACCAGGCAGCCTCAGAAACACACATAAGCATAACCTCCATGGTAATTCGAACACTCAATTTGTTCCACTGGTTAACCACAACAGAAAGAAATGAATCCACTGGATCCTTCTCAGACTAGCTTTCCCGGTAAATTATACATATTTTTAGGAAGACATAACAAGTTTAACAAAAAATCTATAGTGCACAGAACTAAGCAATGGAAAATAGGTTATGAACAAGGTCAAGTTTTGAATTTATTAGATTTTTAACACACCCACGTAAGATAATATTAATTCTGAAATCCAGAACACTGCACAAGACTATCTTTTACACAGAATAATAAAGTTGTCTCTCCTACCAAGACCATGGAAAATGAGTGGGAAAGTCTAAGGGTTAAAAATATAATAATAATTAGAAAACAGCAAGGCTGGTTCAAAACTCATAGTTTCAATACTTCTATGTATTTATTTATATGTATTACAGTAGACTAGTTTTGAAAGCCATAGTTAGTTAGTAACCAAGGCTCCATTTTGTCACTGTGTGATGAATAGTGCAATGCAGCTCAGTCCCAGGAACGAGCTATTACTCCTAGTGCTAGCAGGGCAGAAGGCAAAGAAGGCTTGTTAATTGATTTATTGATTCTACAGGAAAAATCTAGCTTATTACTGGTAAGGCAGCAGAAATCAGACACTGGTACATTTTCCTAATTGCCTCTGCTTGGAAAACCAACTGAAGTACTTGCTCTTGGATTCCCAAAGCAGTTTTATTGGTGTATAGGCTGAAGCATATAAACAGATGTTGCAGGTGGACGTTCCCTGAAGACAGCCACAGCTGACTGTCAGTCAGGAGTACCAGGAAACAGGCAGACAGAAGTGGACATAGCATGGAAGAATGAGGGTACAAAATAACACTAGATTACTTTCAAGCACCTGCAATTAACTTAGTGGTTACCCTAAGAATGGGATATTTAAGGTCACTGTAACAAGCTGGAAAAGAACCCAGAGAGGGATCAGCAAATTAGTTTGAGGAAATGCTCTCCCTCCTTCCCACTGACCAAAATAGTGTAGGTATGGTACAGGAGGGCTAAGGGCAGGTGGGGTAAAGCATGGTGTCTTACGGGGGCAGTGGGAGCTACAGCACTGCTAAAATAGGTTTCACTGTTCATATACTCTTTCCCACAAATAAAACAGTAACTGATTCAGTGCTGGAAGTGTAGGATTTTGCCTTACTCCTACCACAGTGATGAAACACTCCACTATACACGTAAAAACAAAAAATTAAAAAAAAAAAATGGGTAGAGCTACATAATTTTATGATTACATGAAAAGCATTTGTAAATATTCCAGTTGGCTTAATTTTAAATTTGTACACATATAGAAACATATTGGCCAGCCACTGCTTTTACTTAGTAACATGTATTAAGGTGGAATTTAAAAATAATTTCATATTGAAATCATATCTAAATATTTTAAATTTTGTCCTTGCATTAGCCTAAAATAGTTTATTACTGAAATTCCAACCAGGAACTTACATGCACTCTCAACAGACAGCAAAAGTGAGTGATAAAATTGGAGTGATTTGCCCCATGGTCCCGCTAGGAAATGTTTGATTTTAAAGTCTATAAATTGAACAGGCTTATGCTAACTAGTCTCTGGTAAATAACAAACCAAAGCCATTGCTTCTCATTATGTCTAGATAAAACATATCCAGTGTTCAACAATTCAGTTCACTTTGTAGTACTGTGTAATTCGGAGTTAATGTGCCTAGTAAGTAAAATTGCCCAAGCATATACTGCACAGCTTAGGTGCCCTCTCTGAATAAACAGCTTACGAGCATTATGCATCTGTATCTGCAGAATCTTTATTAGATTTCTTTTCAGAAATAGGGTGGTACAAAACCGAATGATATCAGGGAGCACCTATCCTGCTCTAGGGCAGGAGCTCCATATACAACCAATGGTGGCACACACAATAAGCAGTAACTATTAAAAACTAACTATTTGACCTTTTTTTTAGCTTATTCATACTGGCAAATGAAGGCAGTAAAAGACAATGTTTTGATTACTGTAATTCCTATTTTTATATAAAGACACTACTTTTTTATTTTATTGGAATTTCTGTTGTGTGCAAGATCCAGCACAGCACAAAACTCAAAGACTGCCTTTGGTATGCAGTTTACATCACCTAGAAGCTTCCAATCTTGTTTTCAGGTGCAGTATTTGTTACTATTACTTTGTGCCATGCAATACTAACCTGAAAAGTTGTATGCTTTTCTATGCATACACATATATATAACCTCCTGTTTTATAAAAAGAAGCATTTTGAATCAGACATCAAACTGGAAACTGGATTTCCAATCAAATCTCTTTGAGCATTTGAAAATCTTCACTGGCAGGTAGGTTCACATAGAAAAATTATCCAAAAGAATGAATGATGCTATACAACAGACAAAGATTAAGCGCGTGCCTGAACACCTTGCTTTTTAACTTACTACCTTAGAAGCTGAAAGTACTCCTTTCTAATAAGCATCTATACTCATTTCTGCAGAATTTACTTAAAAATAAATGCTAATCACTTCCATGTTTCTCATGTCAGTGAATATATTTATGCTTTGTCACTGTGTAGCCCATGCAACTGACTTAGAAAAAGCAGAAAGAGTAATATCAAGGCAACATAGATTTACAGGAATTGTAACTTAGTCTTGCATTTAAAACCCTTAGAGAAAATAAAACATGCAATTCACTGTGATCAAGCATATAAGTATATACATACATATATATATATATCTCCTTTTTAAAAATAGGGAACAAGTCAGGAAGGGATTCAGCCATATCCTACAAAAGGCTGGACATATTTCAGTCCTTTTTTTCCTGCATTTTTTTTTCCTTCTTAATGTAAAAGAGCAGAGCACAACTTGTAACACAATAAAACATAACATTTCTTTAATTAAAAAAACTACAGTTGGGTTTATTTTTGGCTACGAGAAGAAAACAGTTTTACAGCGTGTACCCCATACAATAATATTATGGGGAAGGGCCTTAAGGATACTGTGCTTGCACTGAATGCAAAATATTTAATCTTTAGACACAAACATAATACATAGCAGAGGTTTAGGCTGGGATTCAAACAATTATTGAGTTTTCATCTTTTACCTCCTGTACATCCTGGCTTTTTGGCATAGATTTCAGCCACATCTGAACCAAAAATGCAGAGAAAAAAGTGGTTAAAACTAAAGAACTCCAGTATAAATCACATTTTGCCTTTTCCTAAAGTTTCCCTTCTGTTTCCTAGAAACTAAAAAGCATCTAGATATAAAATTCTGGCTTTGGTGAATCATAAATCCCTGTAAAACGAATTCAGAATTCAATCCAAAATGATGACACACTCATAGCTCTACACATTACCGTTATTATTTGGCTAGGCAGGGGACAAAAATCAAGCAGTAATTCTATCTTAAGTCAAAGTGCTAACATATCATTCAGCAGTTGTGGAAAGCAGGTGAATAAAGAGCAAAAACTGTCATTTATTGCTTTTTAGTGTACATATTACAGTAATGCCTAATTGTGTATTTATACTTTAAGATGGACTATACCTGGTAACCATCATGTTAGGCAGCAAAACATCAAATCTGATGTGTATAAAGATAACATCAGAATATACGTGTGGTTAAATGGAGTAAAGTACTGTATTACATTTGACAAACTTTGTTTTCTTTAACTTCTATATAAAGGAAATACATTTCACACACCTTTGAAATGTTGCTTGATCGACTTGTGGAACGCCCTGGGGATTTGTCATTCTGGAAAACAAAATTAAAAGGTGAAGAAAGTTATGTCACTCAAATTCCTCCTAAGCAGATTTACTCTTTCTGCGATTGTGAGTGCGCACAGTTTCTCTTCCTCTATTTTTCTTCAGTATGGCTACTGACTGGACAATGGAAGACAGCTCAACAAACAAACCATTACAAGATTCATGCAAATTACACCAGTAAATGTTGAAAAATGTTCTGCAAAATGTTAGCACTTAATTGCTGATGGTTTATTTTGCAGGGTTTTTTAACAACATTTTGAGTGAAAGATTAATGTATCATCACAGCTTCTCATGAAACCTGCGGATTCTTGTATGAAGAGGAATGTTTCATGACAAATAAAAAAACCCACCTAGTTACACTGACACAACCCTGATTAGAAAGTTGAATTCCTCCTTTCAGGAAAGTTAAAATGGAACTAGATGAATTCCTGGCCAGACATGTTCTGAGAACAACAAACTGTAACCAGTCATAGATGTAGTTCAATTTAACACCTACCCCACATCCCTTCTCACTCATGCAAAACCGTACAAACCAACACCATCGGCTGAAATCCTACGTAAATAAAGTAGATGTTGAACAGCTACATTTCTGTAGCAGAATTTTATTTTTTTTTGGTAAAGCAAAATAGGAAGTAAAGCAGTTGTTCAATAATTTGTTCACTATTTATACGTCTCCAGGTACAGATTCAGCTTCATTTACACTGAAATGGTAAAAGGTATTTCAGAAACAGCGCTCATCCCCTTGGTAAATGCACACAATGAGGTCATGGAAATGTTTTTCTCAACACTGAGAATACAGATTCAAACACTCCGGTGAAATCGTCATACAAACAAGACTGATTTTTACCTAGGAGAGATTGAAATAGATACCTTTGGTGCAAGTTTGTTAGACAAGTTATGTGGGGGAACAAACCCCTAAGTAGACCTTCTACTTGCGCAGCTGAATTTGCAGTGCATGCATACAAGTCTATTGAAGACTTACAACTTGACTATGATCCACCCCTCCTCATCCTTCATTTAAATAACTACAGAAAAATACAGAAGCTAAAATTTCCTGCTCCATTACTGTGCATATCTAGTCTAGAAATTAGTATTTCCCCAATAATTTGTAGCACATGACAGTTTTGCAAGGGCAAAAATGACAGAAAAAAAAAACAACAAAACAAAAAACAAGCCTTAGGCAATTTGTCAGCAAACGTTTTGGAAAAAAAACACTTTGCCATTTTTATCTCTAAAAAACTGCTTTAATCTCAATCCCAGTAAGCACACCCATACGAAAGATATTTTCAAAACTACTTGCTGTTCCACACATTATTGTATCTCTCTTCCTTCAGACTTCAGGTAGTTTATTTTTTTGTTCCATCCCTAAGCACCATCATTTTTTTGCACTGAAAATATTAATATACTGAACTATTTCTCTTTTTACTTTGCCTTCACTAGCACTAAGACACACAACAGACTCTTGCCCTCAAAAAAAAACAGCACTGCTGAACTCCCTGACCATACATCACTCTCCTTTTGATTCTACCATACTGGGTAATTCTCAGGACTTAACCACCTTTAGGTTTGTGTCAGGGTTTCTTCTTTTTTAGGAAGAATTAAAAAAACCCCACAAAAATAATTCTTCAAATTATACATTTATTACATCACGTCATTGAAGTTGGCCCCGAATTGAACAGAGAAGTGAACCTAATGATTCCTTCTCACCTGAAGCATTCTATACTTCGAATATTACTTCTGTGATATATTAACCACTGTAGCTTTGGTAATAAATTAATAATTCCTTATCCTTTCTAGACAACATTAAATATATAAAGTTTCAAATGTCTTCATTTATATCTACAGAAAATACACTTCGGATATACTGGGTCAGCATTCAGGGCAGCTCTGGTTTGACCTCAAAATAATAGAAGTTATGGACCCATGAAATTAATTTCCCTTTTGTGGTTAGAAATTATGAACAAGGATCATAGCTGAGAAACTCCCTGCTAAAACCATGCAACCTTTATGCTCCATCACTTGGACTGAAGAAATGTTTTGTATTTTCTGACAGCGTAGTGAACTCTGGAACTGTAACTTACTTTCTTCTAACAATCTGCCATTTGAGATTAATTTTCAAAATCTGTTTCCTGACTACAGCTCTCTAGGCTTTTTACATGATCCATTCTTCACTATGGCACATATCTTCTTCACTTTAGTTACCACAAGCTCCTGACTTTCTGACTCCCAGTACCCACACTCTGCAAAGTACTAGCTCATACACTGAATGGTCTACATGGACCTGGCTGGCTCTACAGCCTTTGGAAAAATAAATAAAAAATTTAATCATTATTTCCAAGTTCAGGTATCTTGTAGTGATTTATTCTAAAGAGCATATAAATAAACCACAAAATGTTGTTGCCCTATTACCATACATGAATTGAAGCTAGAATTCTTTATTTGAGTTCACATTGAACTTGCATGACTGTTCATACAAAGAAAGAACAGAATAGAAAATTTATGGCAAAATCTCTTATGAATGTGTCTTTAAAGAATGTCTGTGTGCTTCTGTTTTAATGGTTTATGTTTACAAAATATTCACATCATTAAGAACAACTGATTCCTTTTCTTACTGTAAGTGAAGAGGAAATACATTGAAGAACATTTTTTCCGACAAGCTTGCTAAACACTATCAAGAAACGTATGTTTAAACATCTATACATATTTTTGTGCATTAGGGAAATGCCTTAGCACGTTCTTCCAATCAGATTATTTCAAATTAAATAGATTTGCACCCTTTAGAATTAACAGTTTTCAGAAGGACTTATTTAATGTCTACAATGTCTTGGTTCTTGATTTCCCCGAGTTTTCTGAATACACATACAGAGTTCTCGCCCTTTAGCTAATATGCAGAGATCTCTCTTGCTAAAATTATCAATCTCTTTTTCCCTCCAGTCAACTGTCGTGGTTTAAACCCAGTCAGGCAACTCGTTCACTCACTTCCCCCCTTCTTGCCCTCCCCCTACTCCCGGAGGGACAGAGAGGAGAATCAAAAAGAATGCAACCCCCACAGGTTGAGATAAGAACAGTTTAGTAACTAAGGTATAACACAAATCACTACTGCTACCACCAATAATAATAATGATAAAGGAAATAACAAGGGAAGAGAATACATCACCTCACCACCAGCCAACTGATAACTCGCCCCCCCAGCCCAGCCGAGCACCGACCAATACCTCCTCCAATCCCGCAGTCCCTAGCCCTCCCGGTTACATCCTGGGCATGACGTGCTGTGGTATGGAATACGTCTTTGGCTAGCTTGGGTCAGGTGTCCTGTCTCTGCCTCCTCCCAGCTTCCCCTCCTCCCTGGCAGAGCATGAGGTTCACAAAGTCCTTGGCCAAACCAAGACATCCTTGTTATCAGCTCTGTTCCCGAGCTGAAAGTCAAAACACTGCACTGCACCAGCTACCAAGGAGAAAAATGACTGCTACTACTGAACCCAGGACATCAACAAAATAACAGAACAACTGCTCCCAAGACTTCTCCTGGCCATGATAGATACGCGCTTCTCAGGTTGTATGCTGTATTATGCAGTCCAGACTGAAATGCCTCTCCTTATTTACAGACATCCTATATCACCAACTTGTCATCTCTCTTGTGTTTCATCATGCAAACACTCATCAGGTATCTCTTCAAAACTCGGTTCCTGTAACTATTCCACTCAAATATCAAGAAAAATCAGTCTGTGTTGGTAAATTTCCTGAAAATTCAGTAAGATGTAATTCAGCCTTCAATATGAATTCTGTGAGGAAGACAAAAGAGAAATAATGGCATGAAATTTCAGATTATGACACATTAATGAAACTGCTTTGAGAAGAACGTTACATGTACCTGTCCAACCACATCCTACCAAGAAAACAACTGTGTAACATAACAGGTAGTAATAAGAAATTCATAAATGCTGCGGTGAACTGTTCAGTCTCATTCTAAAGAGCAAACTGGTAGATCAGCTGCTTGCTTTCTGACTCGCACTAAATATTTATCCACATTGTTAATGATTTTAATTCTTGTTAGATAGCATAGTGCATTTTAAACAAACTAAGTCATTTGTCTGGTTTCTTCCCTTTAGCTGTCCCTTGCTTTGCTCTGGCCCTGACCCAGCAGCTTGCTAGCGGATTGCACTCCATCTCTCTGAAGAGACACCATCAAGAACTAATCACAGTACCTCAGCTTACAAGAGAATCTTAAGCAACAACTTGTCACACACGTACATTCTACCTACTCCCCACCACCAAAAAAAACCAACAAAACTTTGCACAAAATAATTCACCTCTGTTTTCTTTCTGTGAGCAAAAACCTTTGCATTCCAGTGGTACAACGTGCCGCTTCACACATCTGCACACAGTCCTCAACCTTAAGAATCCATAAATGATTGGAGAAACAAATTTTCCTCTAGAAGTGATATAGCAATATATCACAAAAATAAATGTCTTCTAAATATAAGCACAACACAAGCCAAACAAATGTGGTTTTGCCCGTCTAAAGTCCCTTTCAATCTAGTACCCTGTCACAGCATTGACACAGGAGTCTCCTTTCAGCACTTTTTCACTTCTGGAGTTTAAACGGGAGCAGAAATTGCTTTCACTTTACATCTTGAGCTATCAGATATGTAGATGATCTCAACTAGCAACATGAGTCACTTATCACCCGGTTCTTATCTCTAGCGGGCTAGATTCCTTTCCTTTCATATCTCATACTAGCTCGCTCACATCAGTCTCCATGGACTCAGTGCAGCTGCTTTCATTTTTTTAGTACAAACTGCTAATAAACATGATAAATATATCAGAATCTGATCCATCATCCTTTTGAGTAGAAAATACTAATTACAATCCATCACAGGCCAAGATGAGTCAATAGTATGCTTGCTGGGACAATATAAGGGTTTCACAGTGATGATTCTACCTGCAATTACATGGACAACTTCCATGTTACAACACAAATTAGTAAAC